TCACACAACTGTATATAGCATATATTAGCAAATAACTTAAATTTCAGTCTTTTTCTCACACCGAGCTGTGGTCTGGCTTCAGAAGACTTGGAGTATAGAGTTTTTTTAGACAGATGTTGTCGCTTAAATATTTTTGTATCATAAAGAGCTCTCTTTCCCATGGGAATAAAACCACCATATGGGAATGGCGTAAGGGTGAGTACAAATAACAGATTTGAAAAAAAGCTAATAATAATAATTCACTGGCCCTCATGTAAACGTCTCTTTAAACCTGCAGTAAAGTGAATCTCATGATAACATATCCAGGTTTAAGCACATTTAACCCCAATTCTCGTGACTAATGCATTCAGATGTTTTTATTTTTTTTATTTTCATTATTCTTAATGATTTTAGAGATTGATTTTATTTATTGTTATTAGTTTAATAATTATTAATTATTAAATGGTACAACAGTATTAAAATGCAGCAGTTGAAAAGTAGGCTTCATTTTCTTCATGCAGTATATTTATCTATATTTGTTAAGTTCACATTGATGGCTGAAATGTAATGGATGTCCTGCATGAAAATTGCAGGTTGATTGGAAGATGCTTGCAGGGAAGGAACTGCATGTTACTAAAGGAGGTTCTGATAAACATTTCCATTCACCCTGCCATGTAGCTGTATAAGACATCCCCTAAATCAAGACACTTCCTCCTCCACCTTTCATTGACTTCTTTACTGACTTTCCCCAGTTTGATGACAAGCATAATGTTTCCTGTCAGACCCAAATAAATTAAACTTGCTCTCATCACTAAAGTGAACTTTGGACCAGTTCTCTTCTCTCCACACAACATGCTTCTCAGAAAAGGAGTCTAGCCTTATGATTTTTTCTGCTGATGAGAGGCTTTGTCACTGCAGAGTGCGTTTTCAGTCTGACTTCTCTTAAACGTGCCGAGGCAGATCCTTACCTTGTTCAGCACTGAACTGGTGAGCAATTCCAGCTGCAGTGTTGAACCGATTCCCATTTTGAGACTCTCCGCATTATCCTGCCTTCTCTTGCATTTGTCTTACATGGATGACCAGCGTTTTTGGGGGACCTGAATGAATTAGTGTCATTGTAAAGATGCAATATTCTAGAAATCACAGATTTGGAACAAATAACTTCTCTTGCAATGGCTGAAAGGGTCATACCTTTGGCCTTCATCTGGACAACCTGCTGTCGGAGGGTTTCAATCACTTTAGAATGGCTCACCATCTTGCAAAGTCAGTGAAAACTGGAAAGTTAGGCTGCCAGTTATATTTGTCAGATAATTAAGGAAATTAGCACCAGGTGCCAGATTAACACCAATAACTGGGA